GGCCGCCGGCCTGTACCGCTACCTGCGCGACTTCTGCGGCTGCCACCTCTCCTGGTCCGGGGCGCAGCTCCGCCTGCCCGACCCGCTGCCGCGGCTGCGGGCCGAGATCCGCGCCTCCGCCCCCGGCAGGTAACGGGGCGGCGGGGACCCGCGGGGGACGGGCCGGGCGCGGGGCCGGGCGCTGCTCACGCCTCGTTAGCCCGGGACAAGGCGCCTTTACGTAACGGGAACGGGGCCGGGAACGGGGCCGGGAACGGGGCCGGGAACGGGGCGGGGGGGCCCAGCCCGCAGCCTCCCGCCCGCTCCCCCCCCCCCCAGGTACCGCTACTACCAGAACGCCTGCACCCAGAGCTACTCCTACGCCTGGTGGGACTGGGCGCGCTGGGAGCGGGAGATCGACTGGATGGCGCTCAGCGGCATCAACCTGGCGCCGGCCTTCGCGGGGCAGGAGGCGGCCTGGCAGCGGGTTGAGTATCGGGGATGGCGGGACCGGGCAGGGCAGCGGGGCGGCCGCGGGGCCGGCTGAGCCTCCGCCGCCCCGCGCAGGTGTACCGCTCCCTGGGGCTGAACCAGTCAGAGATCGACGGGTACTTCACGGGGCCGGCGTTCCTGGCCTGGAACCGAATGGGGAACCTTCACGGCTGGGCAGGGCCGCTGCCGCCGGCCTGGCACCTCAAACAGCTTTACCTGCAGGTACCGGGGGCACCGGGGCTGCCCGCCCGCCCGGGGCAGACCCGTGCGACCCCCTGCCCTGGTCCTCCAGGCCGACACCGCGCTCACGGAGGCTTGGGGGCCGCCGCTCCTTTCCTCCAGCTCCAGCAGCGCCCGGGGGCCCCTTGCAGGGAGGTGGGGGCTCCTCTCCCCCTGCTCCCTCGCTCTTTCTCTCTCCCAGTACCGGATCGTGGAGAGGATGCGCTCGCTGGGGATGATCACGGTGCTGCCGGCCTTCGCGGGCCACGTGCCCCAGGGGGTTCTTCGGTAGGTGCAGACCCATGTGCTCACAGAGCCCCCCAGGGCAGATCAGCCCTGGCCGAAGCTCCCTCCCTGGTGTCTCAGCCCTGGGCCCTTCCCAGGGTCCCGCTTCCAGCCTGCGCCGGCTACACTGGGTGCTCCTGGGGCCGACTCAGCTCGCGGCCCTCCTGTGCCCTTGCCGCCTTCCCCGGGAGGCTGCCCTGTTCCTGCTGGGGCACAACCGTCCTGTCCCGCTCCTGATCCCCCTCTCTGCCCTCCGGCACAGGGTCTTCCCGCATGTGAATGCCACTCGCCTTGGGGGCTGGAGCCACTTCGACTGCACCTACTCGTGTACCTACCTGCTGGACCCAGAGGACCCCATGTTCCAGGTGATCGGGACCCTCTTCCTGAAGGAGCTGATCAAGGAGTTTGGCACAGACCACATCTATAGCGCCGACACCTTCAACGAGATGACCCCCCTCTTCTCTGACCCTGCTTATCTCTCGAGGGTCAGCAATGCCGTCTTCAGGTCGATGACAGGAGGTGGGTCAGCATGCGGTGCCAGCCTGGTCATGGGGCTCTAGGTGGGGATAGCTGGAGGCCAGTGGGGAGGAGGCTGCGGGCCCCACGCGAGCGCCGAGCTGCCTGTGCTTGGCAGACCTCGTTGGTGCCAGACCCTCAAAGCCCCCTCTAAGAGGGGCAGTTGGTGGCCCCGGGGCCTTGCGGGATGCCCACTGTGTCTACGGGGCCTGCCTGGAAGGGACCTCACTCTGTGTACTTCTGTCCCCAGCTGACCCCGAGGCACTGTGGCTGATGCAGGGCTGGCTCTTCCAGCACCAGCCAGACTTCTGGCAGCCGGCGCAGGTACGGGCCCTGCTGCACGGCGTGCCCCTCGGCAGGATGATCGTTCTAGACCTCTTTGCTGAGTCCAAGCCCGTCTACCAGTGGACGGAGTCCTTCTATGGGCAGCCTTTCATCTGGTGCATGCTGCACAACTTCGGGGGCAATCACGGCCTCTTTGGCACCGTGGAGGCCATCAACCACGGCCCCTTTGCAGCTCGCCGCTTCCCCAATTCCACCATGGTGGGCACCGGGCTGGTGCCGGAGGGCATTGAGCAGAACGATATGGTGTATGAGCTGATGAACGAGCTGGGCTGGCGCCAGGAGCCCCTCGACCTCCCCAGCTGGGTGACCCGCTACGCCGAGCGCCGCTACGGCGCCCCAAATGCCGCCGCAGCCAGTGCTTGGAGGCTCCTCCTCCGCAGCGTGTACAACTGCACCGGCGTCTGTGTCAACCACAACCGCAGCCCGTTGGTGCGCCGGCCCTCCCTGCACATGGACACGGAGCTGTGGTACAACGCCAGCGATGTGTACGAGGCCTGGCGCCTGCTGCTGAGCGCCAGCGCGGAGCTGGGCTCCAGCCCCACCTTCCGCTACGACCTGGTGGATGTCACGCGGCAGGCGGCTCAGCAGCTGGTGAGCAACTACTACCTAAGCATCCGTCAGGCCTTCCAGAGCCACGCACTGCCGGAGCTGCTGACGGCCGGCGGCGTGCTGGTCTACGACCTGCTGCCGGAGCTGGACAGCCTCCTCTCCAGCCACAGCCTCTTCCTGCTGGGCCGCTGGCTGGAGAGCGCTCGTGCCGTGGCCACCAGCGACCAGGAGGCCGAGCAGTATGAGCTGAATGCCCGGAACCAGGTGACGCTCTGGGGGCCCAGTGGGAACATCCTGGACTATGCCAACAAGCAGCTGGGGGGGCTGGTGCTGGACTACTACAGTGTGCGCTGGAGCCTCTTTGTCTCTGCCCTGGTGGAGAGCCTCAACTCCGGCAGCCCCTTCCACCAGGACCAGTTCAACCAGGCTGTCTTCCAGGTGGAGAGAGGCTTTGTCTACAACAAGAAGCGCTACCCGTCCGTGCCGGCTGGGGACACACTGGAGATCTCCAGGAAGCTGTTCCTCAAATACTACCCCAGCACCCTGCGGCGCAGCCGGGCTGGGCCGGCGTGACTTTGGGCTGTGCCTCTGGAGCCTCCCCCAGGAGGGAGGGCAGAGACCCCGCGCCCTCCCATGTCCAGGCTCCCACAGCTCCTGGCCTGATGGCTGCGTCCTGGCCATGCTGGAACGAAGGCGCAGAGCCTCGGTGGCCCCCAGCCAGCCTGGACCCACCATTTCCCCTGCATGGGCAGGACATGCCAGAAGCGGGGCGGGCAGCCTGATGGGGGGGGCAGGCTCTGCCCCAGGGACCCATCCTGTGCCACGCTCTGTTCTCAGCCCTGCTGGCCCTGCCTGGCTGCCCTGAGCCTGTCCACAGGAAAGCTGGGCTGCCCCAGGTGTGAGCCCGGAGGCAAGGGCTCTGCTGCCTCAGTGCTCCCAGCTGGAAGCTCGGTGGGCGCTGGGACTGCACAGAGGGACAGGGCACACATGTCCCTGCCGCGGGGCCCTGGCTGGCGGGGGCGGTGATGGTGGAGAAGCAGCCAGGGAGGTTGCAGTGGTGCGGGAGGCAGAGCAGCCCCTGCCCCCGGGGAAGCAGGGAACTGGCCTCACCCCTGGTGGGGTCCTGGGCCTCCCTGTGCCGGGTGCTCCCCACCCCATGGGCACAGCCCTGGTCACGCTTGGTGGTTGTTGTATCAAAAGAGACTTTGCGGAGTTTTCTGCAGTGTTGCTGGGGCTGCGCTCCCCAGGACAGGGTTTTCTAGGCCTTTCCCCTGCAGCTGGGGCTCAGGCAGAGCCTGGCTGTGGTGCTGCCAGCCTTCGGAGCAATTAAAGGCCTGGCCGCTGAGCACTCTTTTCTCCCATCTGTGTCCATCTCCTCTCCCCAGTGCGGGACTTGTGCAAAATGGGGGGCAGAGGAGCGGTGCTCGGCCCCCAAGCCTCCATAGCAGGAAAAATGCGCTGCCAGATGCGTGCCGGCAGCCGGGGTGCCTGACACAACACGGCACGGCTGGTGCTGGCCCTGGCTGGTGCCAACCCCTGGGGCTGTGGCTCCCCTTGTGCCCCAGAGCCTCCTCCCGCGTGGGGGTCCTGGCTCCTCAGGGTCTTTATCGCAGCAGCTGCGCAAGCATCAAGGCGCAGGGAGGTGGGTGGAGGGGCCTTGAGATAAGGCGGCAGACACAACACCCGTGGCGTGGGGCGGGGGGACCCCCTCCTCCCAGCCTTCTTAAACAGCACGGTCCCCTTGGCCGGCACTGCCTGCTCATGGAGAAAACTACGGTGCTGATCACAGGCTGCTCTTCAGGCATCGGCCTGGGGCTGGCTGCGCGCCTGGCGGCCGACACCGCTCGCAGATTCAAAGGTAAAGGGGTGACACTGCGCCGGGGGGGGGGCCAGCACCCCTGGGGGTCTCCCGGGCTGGGCCAGGCAGCGCTTTGTCAAGGACAGCTGGTGCCTGGGGGTGGGCTGGGGCCGGTGCTGGCCGAGCAGCTCGGCGGTACTGCTGCCCTGCTTTCTCCGCCAGTATACGCCACCATGCGTGACCTGGCCAAGGGCGAGCAGCTGCTGGAGCGCCTTGGGGGCTGCTGCTCTGACACACTGGAGGTCCTGCAGCTTGATGTCACTGACCCGTGCTCACTGGCAGCCGCTGCGCAGCGGGTGCAGGGGCAGCGGCTGGACGTGCTGGGTACGGTTCTTCCCGGTGCCCCCACTATCCCCGGGGTGGCTGGGGGGACCTCTCTGGGGTTGCCAGCCCTCCCCAGGGCACTGGGAGCAGATGCCAAATCACAGGAGGTGCCCGCAGTCCTGGGGCTAGGATGGGACGTGTTCAGCAGGGCAGGGGTGCAGGAGCTGGGTTTGGGGGTGCCAAGAGTCACTGGCCCATCCATAGGGAAGGACCCCCATGTTCTTGTCTTCTGGCACCTCGATGGTGCCAGGGAGTGCGAGGGGGGCTCTGGTGCCTGGCTCACTGGTGCTGTGCCCAGCAGTCTGCAATGCGGGGGTGGGACTGATGGGCCCCCTGGAGACCTGCTCTGACCAAGCCATGAAGACCATCTTCGACGTGAACCTCTTTGGGGCCATCCGCACCATCCAGGCATTCCTGCCCGCCATGAAGCGCCGCAGGGCCGGGCGGATCATCGTCTCCAGCAGCATCGGGGGGCTGCAAGGTGGGACCTGGACCTGCTGCAGCAGGAACCCCGGCACCCTGTGGCACGGGGAACCGCAAGGAAGGGACCCAGTGCTCAGGCTGCGGCTCTGCCCCAGGGCTGCCCTTCAACTCTGTGTACTGCGCCAGCAAGTTTGCGGTGGAGGGGCTGTGCGAGAGCCTGGCCATCGTCCTGCGGCCCTTCAACATCCAGTGAGTGCCGGCAGCGCCGCAGGGGGCTGCGCTCCTGCCCACCAGGCACCGGGATGGAGGGATGCCGGGACGGGGGGTACCGTGGTGGCTCATGCGCTCAGCTGAGAGCTGCCGCCCCACTCCCTCCCGCAGCCTGACACTGGTGGAGTGTGGACCCGTCAACACCAGCTTCCTGGCCAACCTGCAGCGCCCGGACCCCGAGGGCAGCGAGCTGCAGGGCCTGGACGCCGAGACGCGTGGCCTCTACCACCGGTACCTGCGGCACTGCCAGAGCCTCTTCCACGACGCGGCCCAGGAGGTGGAAGAGGTCCTGCAGGTCAGTCCCTGTGGGATGGGGGTAAGGGGCTCCGAGAGGGGTCCGTGCCCGGGGAGGGTGGCCGTGGGGCCGTGCCGGGGACGAGTCTGACCCCTCTGCGGTGCCAGGTGTTCGTGGAGGCCATCGGGACCCCCTGCCCTCCCCTGCGCTGCGTCACCACCCAGCTCTTTGCCCCGCTGTCGCGCCTGCGGCTGGCCAGCCCCGACGGCTCCGCGTACGTCCGGGCCATGCACGACTTCGTGTTCGGCCGCGGTGAGGCCGGCGGGGACCAGCCCTGAGCAGAGCCGCCGTCGGCCCGGGGGAGCCGCGCTCCGGCGCGGACCCCCCCGGCCCCAGCCCTGCGGTGACCCTCCCGGCCGGGGCGGGGGGGATCTCGCTCCCACCGTGTCGCCAATAAAGCCCTTTGCAGTCGCCCGGCTCCCGGCTCCGTCCCTCTCGCCGCAGCCCATCCTCGCCCAGCAGCCCTGCCCGGGGGCTCGGCCCGGTCCCCGGGGGCTCGGCCCGGTCCCCGGGGGCACCCCCCGCGCCTCCGCTCCGGGGTCCCGCGGCGGGGCGGCGAGG